CTATGAGTGTGTCCCGAGCCCTGCTTCAAAGCCTCCTTTTTCTTCCATCCAGATCCTTACACTGGCCTTTGCTCCATTCTTGAGTAGTCTACATTTAATTGCTGCATATGTAGTTCTTAATTCAAAATCTTCCCAGGAGAATCAAAAGGCTGTTAAGTTGTCCTGTGTCAAATGCCTAACAGCTTTCTAATTCTCCTTTTAGGACTGAGCCAACATCTTTCCAAGGTAAAAGGTATTAACACAACTTCCACACACTGATAGGAGTGGGAGACCTGACGAGGCCGGAAGCCCTTGCTGGGTTTACTGTTTTTCGTATTGCCACGGTTGCCACCACCTCTTTGCATGGTTTTGCCCAATTCCTCTGATAATCTCTACTGGAGAATTCCTGACAACACACAGCAGAAATCCTGAGGCTTTGTCCCCGGGGCAGTGGAAAGACACACAGTTCCTCTGAGTCCTTTCATGGCCTCCAGCCAGACTGTTTGGCTTGCCCTGGAGGGAACTGGTGAAGGGGCATCTGTCCACTTTTTTGTCACCCCTTATCTGCAGCAGCATCAGTGACTGCTGCCTCACATGCCAGGCAGGGCGACCAGCACTCTGCATGTTTTAGATCCTACTAGCATCCTAGTAAGTGCTTTTTATAGACAAGGACTGTGAGGTTCAAGAAAGGTTACGTTGCCTCAGGTTATCTAATTAGGAAGCGGTCATCTAATTAGGAATTTAGGCCTAGGAGTCTGAGCCCAGAAAATCCTTTCCAATTTGCCTCCTCCTAGCTCAATTGTTAAAACCCAGTGGCTCGTGAAAGGGGCCTGGTAACCCCACCTCCCTGCCCCTCTGCGGTGGGGCAGGCATCTGTTTTCTTTAATGCCTCCAGAGTCTGATAAACAGTCCAGGTTGAGAACTAAAGCACTTACTAGTCTGTGAAGCCAGCCTTTTGTGGAACAAGCTCAGTTACTTTGGGTAAGCCTCATTACAAGAAAGCTTTGTTCTTTAAAGGACCCCTGAGTGATCTGTGGCTTTTAAAGCATGTAAAATAGTCTAATAAAGGAGTCAGCTGACCTGACAGGCTCTAGAAGGATCCAGGCTTGCTCAGTCCGCAGCCTCTCCGTGCTTTCTCTCGGAGGAAGGACAGGTGAAGCACAGTAGATGTCGCGGACTGGCTGATTGATTTTACACCAAGGAAATGTTTCAAAACGAGAGTCAAGTTCACGGCCGGGAATGATTTTTGTGCCGTGTCTGTCTGTGCACCTCTCTCAGCCCTGCATGTTCCAACGTGAACCTTAGCAGCTTTGATAGGAAGGCCTGCTGCAAGGATGTGCTTGTCCCTTGCCCACCTCTCATGTGCGTAGGTGTTTATTAAGAGGCCTGCCCTGTCTGTGCCAGGTGCGCACTCACTAGATGTGAGGCAGAGCAGTCATCTTCAGAAATGCAGGCATAGCTCTCTTGTCTCCTAAAAGTTGTGAATTAAACCCTTTTCCAAAATATGAAGCTTGAAAACTTGAGATTTTATGTAAATTATGTTTTTTTAACTCACATTAGAACACACATTATATCAGATTTATCTACATGTATTTATGTATTTATTTATTTATTGCAGTTTTTGGCTGGGGCTGGGTTTGAACCTGCTACCTCCAGCATATGGGGCTGGCCCTTTATTCCTTAGAGCCACAGGCGCCGCCCTATCTACATATGTTTAGTTATCTCAAAGTGCTGCCTTAGATTCAAATACAGTTGTATCCCATACAGAAGAGGTCATAGTCTCTTCTGTTTTGAGAGAAAGGCAATGTTCCTTATACAGGATTAGGGGGAAGAGGACCAATTTAGTTTTCTCTTGACATTTCATAAATCTCCCAACTCTGCTAGGGAGACCTAATGCATAGTCTGCTGTTATTCAAACGTTCCACTCTCCCCAAGATCACTAAAAGGATAAATGCCTGTTTCTCTGGTGTTAGTCACCGACAGTGAAATGTGTAATATTTAATTTGGGGATAGTTTTGTGTGACAAAGCTTGGGAACAATGAACAATATTCATAAAAGGTTGATTCTGAGCTGCAGATTCAAAGGGATTGCCTAAGAGTCCAAACGAATTCAGCTGTGTTGTTGGAGATTAAATGCGCTTGGCTGGATTTGTGTTGAATTTTCCGAGGGACGGGTCTCATAGGCAGAATTCACTGGCTATTTCTGCATGCAGCTTCCTCCCCAACCATCCTCTGGTGACAGCTGTCCAGGCTCATCACCAGCAAGAGGACAGCTTTAGCAGAAGCAATAACACATTAAAAAAAAAAAGACTTCATTGGTTTTTCTTTTTCTTTTTTGCCATAAATGATACCAGTGTTTTCAAATGCTTTGGGCTTTACCTTTCTTACTATGAAGACTTAAGCTTTAGGTAACATTTAGTTACTCAATGCTGATACTACTGATCTAGAAAAAAAAAAAAAAATGAAGCCATATGGATGATTTGTGGTCCTGAAAGGGAGACACGTGATCACTGAGCCCCATGGATAAGAGCCAAGCGTTTCTTTCCCAATACAGTCACCCCAGTCTGTTTCCCAGCCAAGTATTTCATTCATCAGAACTATTAGCAGGTGAAAAGATTGAGATGAGACAGCGTATATTCAGAAAAGGGACCACGAGCTCTGTGGGCAGAGGCTCCTGGCACCCTAGGACTGGGAATACTTCAGTGCAGCAAGGTGATCATGGAGGGAGGAGGGGTGCGAAGACCATGCACCTTGCTAGCATTCAGAACCACAGGACCACAGCTCAGACCTTCTTACTTAGGGCCTTGCTGCTATAGTATCCACATGGCCTGGAAATTTGTCAGGACTGAAGCATCTCAGGCCTCACCCCAGATTTACTGAGCCAAAGTCTGAGTCATAATGAGGTCCCCAGGTAATTGTCATATTCACAGTAAATTTTGAGCAGAACTGCTTTAGCAGATCCCCGAGTAGGAGGAAAACACACACACAAACACTCCCTATCTTGATTTCTACATGATGTTGGGCCATTTCTAGAAGTTAAGCATTTACTCTGAAGGAATTGTCCACCCTACTCTCAGGTCACATATAATTGTTTCTCTTAAAAAATAATTTGATGTAACAGATTCCCTGTTACATGGAACAAGGAATGGTGTGTGGGAAGTTTTCTGCCCACCTCCTCTACTTAATATGTTATTAAATTTAATTGCCAGAATGTTGCCTCCAACTACAGGTCCAGTCTTCTTTGCATCAAATATAAACAGTAATATCCACATTAGAGTGTACTTATAGGATAGTTATACAAATGTTTGAGCAACTTACACTCTATGAAGAGTTCTAAACATTTTCTTAAAGTTTTAGTTAAAAGTTGAAGGACTTACAATAGAAATAACAAATTTATGAGGTTCTTGGTAGGTGTTGCTTCTACATTTTGACTTTGTAGTAAATCTTTTTTTTTTTTTTTTGAGACAGAGACTTACTATGTCACCCTCAGTAGAGTGCTGTGGCATCACAGCTCGCAGCAATCTCAAACTCTTGGGCTTAAGCAATTCTCTTGCCTCAGCCTTCCAAGTAGTTGGGACTACAGGCCCCGACCATGCCACAATGCTGGCTGGTTTTTTTGTTGCAGTTGTCATTGTTTAGCTGCCCCAGGCTGGGTTCAAACCCACCAGCCTGGGTGTATGTGCTACGGGTGTTGAATGGACTTTGTAGTAAATCTTAATCATAGACTTATTGATTATGTACATTTTAGGTAGAGTAACAAGTAATCTGTAGGTTTGTTTTGTTTGTACTCCAATTTGAAAATAGAATTTGAAAAATTAAGTGTTGTTTTCTTTATACAGAGAAAATCTCTGCTGGCTTTAGAGAAGGAAGAAGAAGAAGAGAGAAGTAAAACTATAGAGAGCTTGAAGACGGCACTAAGGACGAAGCCGATGAGGTGAGCTCCGCCCAGCAGCTCCTCTTCCCTCCTGCCTCCCTCCTTTGTTCAGCAATAGTCAAACCTTTAGGAAGTCCTAAATTAAAAGCATGCAATTGGACTATGCATAAAAGTCTTTAATTGTCAAACATTTAATAAAGGGATTTTCTTCAATTATAAAGTATGCAGATAGCCAGTAAAATGGCTAAAATTAAAAAGTGTGATGGCAGAAGTGTGGAAATATTGGGACCCTCATTCATTGCTGGTGGGAATGTAAAACTGGTGCAGCTACTTTGGAAAAGAATTGAGTAGTGTCATATAGTGTTGCCTAATGCCCTAGTAATTCTATTCCTACATATATAGTCAAGGAAAATGAAGATAATGTCCCCTCAAAAACTTATGCGAATGTTCCTATCAGCATTTTTCATAATTTTTCCAAGACGTAGAAGGAACTCACATATCTATCAACTGGTGAGTGAATAAATAAGACGGGATGTGTCTACATAGTGAAATAGTCTTTGGTTACAGACAAGATCCAGTTACTGATATATGGTGCTTGCTTCGGCAGCACATGTACTGAAATTGGAATGATACAGAGAAGATTAGCATGGCCCCCTGCTCAAGGATGACACACAAATTCGTGAAGCATTCCATATTTTTGTGAATCTTTCTAAATGTAGAATGTAAATGTCTTAGCACAATAACTAAGAAAATGCCATGAAGGCTATGTTAACCAGTTTGATGAAAACATTTCAAATTGTATATAAAACCAGAACACTGTACCCCATGATTGCATTAATGTACACAGCTATGATTTAAAAAAAAAAAAAAAAGTACTGATATATGCTGGATACATGGAGTAATCTTGAAAATATTATGCTAAGTGAAAGAAGCCAGTCACAAAAGACCATGTTCTATGATTTCATATAAATCTCTGGAACAGGCCAATCCATAGAGATAAAAAGTGTATTAGTGGCTACGAGGAGTTGGAGAGAGGGGGAAATGGTCTTTTGTGGTGATTGAAATGTTCTGAAATTAGGTGATGTTGATGGACACACAACTCTGTGAACATATTAAAAACCTCTCAATTGTGCACTTCAAAATGGTGAATTTTATGCCATGCAAATTAATCCAAATACAGTGATTATTAAACAGAAAATGGGTAGACATTCTGGCAATAGTGATTCATTTCCACTCTGATTATCAGCTCGCTCCTGTGCCTGCCACACCTTCACTTTGCATTGGTGCCTCTAGGACAGTGGTTCTCAACCTTCCTAATGCTGGACCCTTTAATACAGTTCCTGTGGGCCACACGGCTGCTCTAGGATTTGGGGAGATGTTGGGCTCTTACAGGTGCACTTCATTAGCCCAGGTGCTATGAGTGAAGCCAACTGGTTTAAGGAACTTAGTGATATCTGAGTCACAAGATTGGGTGAAATGGCTAGAAAATGTTCTTTTTCTTTGACTCTAAAATGCAAACTAAAAATACCTATTGATTTATAAAAAATGCCATGTAATTGTATGAGGGAGAGAGACTGTTCCTTCCAGACTGTTCAGGGACATGGGTGTGACGTGCACTGTGAGTTACTCCCAGTGATCAGCTTTACAGCACGTACCTGTTACAACTATTGATAGGATTAATGTACATGATAATGGGTTCAAACCCACCAGCCTGGGTGTATGTGCTACGGGTGTTGAATGGACTTTGTAGTAAATCTTAATCATAGACTTATTGATTATGTACATTT